ATCATAGAATCATAGAGTTGGAAGAGACCACAAGGGCCATCGAGTCCAACCCCCTGCCAAGCAGGAAACACCATCAGAGCACTCCTGACATATGGTTGTCAAGCCTCTGCTTAAAGACCTCCAAAGAAGGAGACTCCACCACACTCCTTGGCAGCAAATTCCACTGTCGAACAGCTCTTACTGTCAGGAAGTTCTTCCTAATGTTTAGGTGGAATCTTCTTTCTTGTAGTTTGGATCCATTGCTCCGTGTCCGCTTCTCTGGAGCAGCCTGTAAGGTTGCGGTTAGGCACTGGTTAATTTTGGTTGGTAGAGGGGGTATGGTTGGCTGTGCCAGCCCCTCCAATGCTGCTGCTGCAAGGGTATTCTGTTAAAGGAATCCAGGGGCTCGCCATGCTCTTGTCCGAACCCCTGGCAAGGGGCTAGGGCCATGCAAGAGCCCCTGGGAGCATTTGGGGAGAGGTGAGAGCCTGGTGCCCAGCTTTATGCTCTCCCCTAAAATGTTTTCTCTTACTGACTTTCACAGGCTTGTGGATGTCAGTTCTGTTCCTACTTCTAAATGGGAACAGATAGTCGCTAGCCAATGCCTAAGCAACCACTCACATGCTGTAATCAATAAAGTTGTGGCCAAAATTATGCCAAAAAACAAAAAACAAATTCTGTGTGAATTGTGTCTTTATTTGAGGGTGTTTTGGGGGGTCCTCAACACACAAAGCCTTTGTGCCACAAGTGCTGCACTTTTGGTTCATAATGCTGCAAGTTTCTGATGAAAACATGTTGCAGGCATTTGAAATTCCTAACCATTTCCAGTCTATCCGGAAGACTCAGTTTGGAGTCGAGAATATTTCCTTTCCTTATGCAGAAATGTTAGCATGGTTGCCTAGGAACCAGACAAAGAAACCCAAGGAAGAAAGAAGGTGCAAAGGAAATGAATGAAAATATCATTGCTACTGACATTTGATTCTGGTGGGTCACCAGAGGGGGCTCTATTTTTGTAAATTCTACAGAAATGTGTTTTCCATTTCTGCCAGGCTGTTCTTGTATGCTGAGTCTTAACAACTTTAAATGACATTTGCCTCCAAATCCCCTTTGATAAGGGAGTCTCAGTGGAATATCTAAAATGCCCAAAAATAAAGAAGACAGATAGTTTGAATAGTGAAGCTTAAAGCTTTGTATACACATGATCCATGTGCTCCAGTGACGAGTCTTTTCCATTTCCTCCCATTGTTAACAGTGTTTAAATTAAAATAAGCTGTAAACCAACAAAGTATATGTGGGTTTTTTTTTAAAAAAAGTATTTTACTTGTTAAGTATTTGCTGTACTTTTGAAATCAGCATATTTCCATTTGATAGAGTTGTTTAGAATCCAATCATTCACTGATTACCAAATGGGTATTTGAGTGGCAGCTGTGCTCAATATTTAGGCAGCTAAGACATATGGCAATACAATGGCATATGCTAAGGATACCTGAGACCTTTCAACTTTGCATGCAAATGGGCTTCACAGACTGAGTCAATGAATACTGGATGTAGAACAATTGCAATGTACTTTGGGACAATAATGGCATGCTGTGGTGCGCTCAGCAGACCATCTGTCTCCTATGTTACATGCTCAAGCAGAGATCATTCTGCAAAAGAAATATTTGAAATACTGTGTCATGATCTTGATGCTGTCTTCTTCCTGAACAAGCCACATTCTTGAAGCACTGATGGGCTTCCACCCCACTCATCATAATTCATTATTTTTGTCCACAGAATCAACTTTGTTTTTGTGTCCTGCAACCATCTGCCCTGGCTATGAACTCTCTGCCATGACCTCTAAGTTTTGCAGTGATCTGGACACTGAGTCAGAGGCTGCCGGGGCACCAGAAGGGGAGCCAGGTCAGGTTCAGAGCTCAGAGATGAAATGCTGAACATAGGGAGACCATCCCACCTAAGGATGCTGGACAGGAGCCCCCAGAGGAACCTCCCAGACCACCAGGACTTATAGGGACAGATTCCACACCCTCCCTTGAGCCTGAAGAACCAGATGCCTTCTACCTCACATCACAAGTATGGTAGCACAGGAGGCAGGCTATAGAATGAAGGAGGATGGACTGTCTCTGAAGTTCTCCTCAAGGGGGTGGAGCCTGGAGGAGATAATCTGGAGATGGACATTAAAGTTCTCAGCCTGAACCCAACCTCTGTTGGAGCATGTTGCTCAGTCCATGGTCCAGTAGCCTTCAATTTGCCTCCAGCTTCACCTTCAGCCTTGTCACTTTCTCTGTAGGATTCTGCTTCATACCAGAACACAACATTCTCCTTCAGGGGCACTGCTATGGCAATTATCATGATGAGTTTCAGAATTTGCCACTTCCCCACAAGTCCCCACATTAGCCCCAAACATGAGGGAACTCATTTCTTGGGTGATAGCCCAATTGACTTCAGTAAAAAAACTAAGGCACCGATGCTATGCACAAGACCTGGTATAAAAGAAGCTGGTGCATATTAAGCAGATCCAAAAACAGCATCTTTGGGGTCTTGGGGTCCTTCGAGGTGTCACGGTTTTTACTTTTTAAAATATGTCAAACCTACTTATCAGCCACAGCTCAGGCTATTTCAGCTCAGCCATCTGAGCCAGGATGAGCAATTTATACCAGCATATCTTTGCCTGAGCTGGTGTTGAGGACTTAATGCCAGAGGCTCCAATACTTTGGCCACCTCGTGAGAAGAGAAGACTCCCTGGAAAAGACCCTGATGTTGGGAAAGATTGAGGGCACAAGGAGAAGGGGACGACAGAGGATGAGATGGTTGGACAGTGTTCTCAAAGCTACTAACATGAGTTTGACCAAACTGCAGGAGGCAGTGGAAGACAGGAGTGCCTGGCGTGCTCTGGTCCAGGGGGTCACAAAGAGTCAGACATGACTAAACGACTAAACAACAAAAGCAGGAAATCAGCCAGCTGTGCCAGAGATCCGCTGCATCCTAAGCTGTTCGTCCTGGTGGAGCTTGCCATGGGATTGCACTCTTGAGTTCTTTCTGCCTTTAAATATATTGATTCTCATATTATGACTAGTAAAGAGTCAAAGCATGCTAGAATCATCAATATAGGCATAGATTTGGGGGGGGGAAACAAAACAAGACACCAGTGTAGGCTTATAGAAACTGGTGAGGAAAGCAAAAACTTCTTTGGGTATAAAGTAAGTGCTTTTAATTAGTTCACAATAGGTAAGAATAGTTAGCTCAGGGTAAACTTAACCTTTCACTTGTTTCCATTAAAAATGGCTCTAGATCATCAAAGGTTCCTAAATGTTCAGCGCAGTGCCATTTAATAGCCTGAATGCTTTTTCAGAGGAGCCTTGGCCAGAGACTTCAAATGAAAGCAGAATAAGAACCGATACACTTGCTGACATTGGGATTGTTGGCCAAAAACCTCAAAAAGTTTGCACAGGAGGGAACAGTTGTACTCTTTTTATAGATTTAATTGGAGCTGAGAGGGGAAATACAGGGATATAGAAAGTACAGGACAGGTGGCAACTGTAATTGAGGCAACTCATTAACCTTATATCGCGCCTCTCCAAAAGCTCATTTTTTCATGCAGGTAGTGTGCCTCAACAATCTACAGAAGCAGCATTGATTTACTTCTATGGCTGGTGCTCCTTTTCATATATTTTATGTATTTATTTATTTGAGAGAGAAAAATCAACCCCACCTTTCATCAGTGCTTATTCCAAGGGACGTTACAAACACACAGTATAGCATAACAATACAATAAAGCAGGAGCAGATAAAAGAAAGGTAACAATTAAAACAGCCATTATAAACCCATACCAAGAAAATGGCTAAGAAGACAGGTGGCTTCATAAAATTCAAATATATTTTCTGGATCCAACTCCTTTGCTACCCAAAGGTGGCAGGTGGGGCTTGTACTAGGAATTGGTGAGAAATTTGAATATGTGGATTTTAACGAGAAACTACCTGTTTTGCAATTTTCACACCAATACGGTAAATGAAATACAGCTGTCTTTCAAAATTCACCCTTCTCCAAATGTTGCAATGCAGTTCTCCAACCAATGTGCATAAAAATGCATATATTAGGGGGTATTGTGCATAAAATGCATATATTAGCAACATGACACTAACATAAAGGAATTGCAGTAAGCCTACAACTTACACGGGGGTTACGTTCTGAGGATCACGCCTATTGGTTCTTTTTAATAATAGTAAATTAATATTAAACAATATTAAAACTGGCTCTACAATTAGACCCAGGGCTAATATTCTCCAGGAGGAGATAAAAGGTCTCCAAATCTTCCAGAGGAGCAGAAAAAAGGAGGGGTGACAAATTCATCAGACAATAGTTTTCCAGTAAAATTCAGCTCAGCCCTAGTTTCTTTTTTAAAAAAATACTTGACCTATTAAGTCCTTAACACCAACCCCTTTGTGGTTGTCTGCATTGTAGATTGACAATGGCAGGAATAGCAGCTTGATTTGCCTATCTTTTACTCTTCTCATTGTCAATATTTTGCCACGGTTTTACTGGCATATTGCCTTCTGCTACCATTATTTGCATTTTGCTTTTCATTATGCTTTTACAGATTTTACTGTAAAGTACCTCCGGTGTCCTGGTTATGCCATAAGACAGAGAATACATATGAAAAGCATTTTTTTTAAAAAAAGCCAAACGCCACAGACAAGAAGCTGGGTTTGCACTATCAATGCAAATCTGCAATTTGAATGTGTAATAGTATTCTGTGCCCCTCCCAAAACACACACCCTCACCCAACTGCTTCATTACCATGCCGGTTTGGGAAAATACTTTAAAGCGTTTTTTGTCTGGATGAGTGCATGCATTTATAGCCCATTAATGTCACGGACTCTCTTCATTCTTTAAAAAGCATTAACTCTAGTTCTAGCACTTGGCTAAGCTTTATTAAAAAGGAAAAGAAATGTTTACATTTCCTAGCCCTAGCGGTCATTTATTCTGCCTTTGCATTTATTAGGATTCTTTTTAAAAAGTCAGTCACTTATCTGGCCTGATCCAAAGCCATACAGAGTGAGTGGGAGGTTTTTCTATTGACGTCAGTAGGCTTTGGGTCAGGCCCTTAGTGCAGGCTCATAATACATAATTCAGGCTCCTAATGCATTTCAAATGCCTTTTTACATTTTGCTGGTTGGTTCTTCTCCCAGAGGTACAGCCATCAGTGATGTTCTTTGCTGCCCCAGGACAACTCTATATTTATCCCTAGCCTTCTCTAGATGGCCTCCTTTTCTCTTCCAGTCACACATTCTCCTTGAAAATTATAAACACAATTTCCTTCAACATGCCTTTGCTCTGCTCCAGACATTTGGAAGTTTTCCACATCACCAAATTTTTCATTTGTTCCCCCAGTTCCAGCCTCTTCTGATGATCTTCCAATCTATTCCCTCCACTTGCTCTTAACCTTCTTTATTTCAAGCACAGACCACGTTGACATCTTAGCGTTAAAGCGCCTGTCTTTTCCACCGCACTCCACACATGGGGGCACATCTATTGCCCTATTTGGATGTTCAGTTCATGTGATTAACAGTTTCATGGAATGGGAGAACTGGGCTGGCTATAGACATGCCACTGTATCCCTAACAGCCTGTCCCTGTTTTCCACACCTGGAGGAACATCTATAGAGGGTGCATCCTCTTTATGGGTAGAGTTATTCCACCCCAATGTGTGGATGGTGGGGAACCAGCTGGTGGCAGCAAGCGGGGAAAGGACCTGTAGTTTCACTCCACATGATTGCACAGCTGGAATGCTGTAAGAGGGCTTATGATTTCATGAAGACTTTATGGAGATTAATAAAGAGCTTTGTTGTTGATGTTGTTTCCCTTACTGAGCTTCATAATTAATTCTTTATACTTTCCTTCTAGCCTCTGCTAGGTAAAAAAATTGCAGCATGGAAGCCTCCAAATGCAAATATCTATGCATCACTGCCATGCCTTCAAGGGAAGTCCCTGTTACAGTATTTGTCATTGTTCCTTTGAGCAATGTGCCTTTTACAGCTGCCACACTACAAGAAACTAAAGAGGTAAGCTGTGCTATCACGATGTGGTGGGGAATATTCATCATTCATGCGGATGCTAAATGCACAATAACCTAGCTTGACAGAAAGAGCAAGCCTAGCTTTCTCTATGCATTGAGTGCTCTATCATTATTTACTTTCTTGTGCCACAAAATTGGGTGCTTGCCATGGCAGGGTTAGAAAGGGAGATGCTTTTACATTCAACTTTAGCAAGGGCACAACTATAGCATCCCATGGCCAGAAAACTATGCACTAGCCATACCATCAATGCAGGTTTTAATGGGCTAAGGGATTTTCTACAGTAAGGCAAAATGTGTATAAAAAGTGTAGGCTGGCGTTTTGATGACAATGATAACGTGTAGATATTGGAGTAGGAAGCAACTTGTGTCCATGAGCAGCACTTATGTTGCAACCAACCCAAGGACTTCTCTGGTTCTCTTCCATGCTTTGCATTTCAGTCGTCTACCTACAGTTCCCTGTCATTCTCCTCCGTCCTCAGTTTTATTTTTAAACTGTATTTCCTTCACAGATGTATCAGTGGCTACAGATGGTTAATGCTGTTTTTACTGTTGCCAGAAATTCCCCCTTGGAGGAGTAAGTGCAGGAAGCAGTGGAGGAGGAATCAGAACTATGCCAGACCTTCCAGCTATTTCTCATTCAAATGGATATTTGTTATAGCTGTATGCAGTAGCAAAACTGTGTGTCACTTTCATAGGCCCATTGCACTGAATTAAACTGTCCAAGGGAACTGGTCACTTTCCCTTGCCTCCATCTAGGGATAAAACTGAATGCTTTGTGGAAACCAGAGAATAGGGCAGTGTGTTCCTTATTCTAGAAATCTTACTAGTGTTCTAGATTAGTGATGGACGAATCTGTTCATTCCCATTTTTCTCACTTTCCCATATTTCAGTCTTGAATTTGGTTCATCACATGCCCACATTTCATTTAAAAGTTCTCATGAAGATTTGTCAGCACTTTAGTACACGTTCCTCATAATATACACATTTTTACAAGCAATTTCCCTTAATATTACGCTTTTTTGGTATGCTACATTCGTTAATATATTTATTTTAACCGCACTTTCCCCCTGACATATGCATTTTTGTACATAACGTTTGGTTGGAGAACAGCACTGCAAAATTCAGAGAAATGAAACTGTGGAAGGGAAGCTGCATTTTGAATTGCATATTGTTTCAGCAAACATGAACTAGATGTGAACCAAACCAAATTTCTACCCCAGCCCTATTCTAGACACACCCTCTTTCAAGGATGTTCAACTTTTTCCTCATAAAAGCAAGAACGTTTTTTGAGATGTCACCGAAAATTGTTTTTGTTCAGATTATAATACAAATTTTTCCAGCTGTATTATGAGTCAAGAGCTGGTCGACAGTGAAATTGACAGTGAACACTGCCTGGTTCCCTAAGCAATAAAGATCTGCTCACTCTCTCCCTGTCCTTCAGAATGAGGGGAATGAGAGGGATTCACTGTCAGTTTGTCAAAACTGATTGGCTGTATTGCTGAAATTCTGTTATGTTCAGTATATGATCCCTGATTGCCAGGGGGTCACATAGTGAAGAAGGAAAAAAAATCATGCAAAAAAGTGCCAAAGCAGCAGCATATTGAGACTGTAACCAGGAAAAAAAGAAACCCACAAATGACTATGTAGCAGTAATGACTACTAAGCACACTTCTCGAAAGCACACTTTTCATGTTGAAATTGAGCCTCACAAAAATTTCAGCTTCACTGATCTCAAAGACTTCAGTAACACCAACAGCTTGTTCCAGCTTATATTTCATTGGTGGGTTTTGCTATACATAAATTTCAAAAATCCTCTCGTTCTTCAAAACTGTCAGAAATCTGCCATCCAACCATGAGTAACAAGTTTTCGATGTGGTTTGTCACAATGTTTTTACAACAAATGGCTGAAGATTAAAAGCATACTTATTATAAGCACTCAAGTGATGAATTAGATGTTTTCAGTTTCATCTGTATTTGTCAGGAAGTACAGAGCTTGCTAACCAGCCCCAAATATACAGTGATTTAATGTGGAGCTCCGGCTCAGTTTTCTGGTTCAGGATATTGTCACAATATTTCAAAACAGCAGTGTGTCTCCTCTGTATGATAGGAAATGCAGTCTGTGACAAGAAAATAGGTTGAAGTGTGGCAATAATTCACTCACAGGAGGAAACCCATTCCCCTCCCTTGCTCTCAAGTATTTTCCTTTAAAAAAATAAGTAAGAGTGTTCATTAAATTTAAGAAAATAATCAGCCACCAGAGATCAGGGATCTGTCCTGGACATCCTTGTGTCATTTTAGAAGAACACTTACCATTCAGTTCACTCCTCAGTAATGCTAAAGTGCCTGCCATAGTGCAATTTGTATCTCTGTTGTATATAGGTGAAAATCCCACAGAAATGAATGAGCCTTACTTCCAAGTAAGCATGTTTTGGATCAAGCTGTGAGGAGTAAATGAAATTACTTAAGCAATCTAAGCTGTTTGGTAGATTATATATTTTCTAACTAACCAAATTCCTCATATTTTTAATAGGACGTGGGAGAAACTACACATGATCTTTGGATAACAGTTGACAGCAAGGTTTTTGTCAAGTGTGCAAAAATTTGATGCCTATTCAAGCACTAATATCATGGATTCCATCACTGAGATTATGGATTTTTTGAGGGGATATTTACTGAGATATTTTGTGGGCGCTGTAGTTGGTACTGGTGGTAACTCTGTGCTCATGGGTGCCAAATTGGTGCCCCCCTTATAGAGAATAATAATAAAGTAGATTTATTGCATTAGCCGAGTGGCCATAGCATGATATACATTGAAATAACAACATAAAATGGGGGTGGGGAGGTAGAGGTAGACATCGTCCTGGGCGAATACTTAGAGAAAGTGAAAAAAAAAAAAAAAGAAAGAAAACAGAAGCTACTGAGGCTGGAGGAGGACCGTTGAAGGGTCCTTCAGCTCCTCAGATTAGTCCTAACTCGATTGTCCTTGTACAATAAGGCTACTTGGAACTTCGTTCGGTTGTGCGGCGTATCGACTGCATCTGTGGTGTTAAGGAAGAAGTTAGTGCCGCTTCCTCTTCATCACACTAAGCAGGAAGTTAGCTGTCATCTCAGTAATCCAACAATCAGAATCCTGCAAAAGAGGGACACTATCCAAGGCTGGATTGGGAGATGGAACTTATTCACGAGGGGAGTTAAAACCGAGATCTTTCATCTGTCCAGTTGGGACAGAAGAGCATTACATGTTCCATAGTCTCCAGGGCCGTGTCATTACAGGAGCATGTTCTGTTTGCGATGGGAACTCTGGAATAGCGACCCGACAGAACTGCTGTAGGAAAACAGTTGAGACGGGCACAGGTAAAAGCCCTTCGCTTAGTCTCCGAAGAAATTGTGAAGCAGTATAGAGGGATCCCTTCAGGGGGTGGAATAGCTAGGGCTAGGCCTGAACACGGTCCTCTTGCACAAGAAGCTGTGTTGGAGAAGTCAAGTTGCTGTAGTTTCTTTTTAATTAGGGGTAGGGCCACCGGGCTGATACACTCTAAGTTAAGAACAGTTTTACAATTCAAATTGAGAAGAGAGCGGAGTTTGAGGTTAATTGTAGTTTTCCAAGGGGAATTATGAATATCTCTTAGGATCAGATTGGAAAAGCCACCTCTAATTCGAGCATCCGATGCTAATAGGTGGAGGGTGTAGGAAATGGCTCGGCTCCATGCTCGTCTAGCAATTGAAGGCTGGGCGAACTCGAGTCGTAGGGCTGCACCTGAGACACATCTCGGGACGCCGGAAAGAGATCTCAGAAACATATGAAGTGGACGATCCAGGTTACCTGATATTGCTGTAGTCCATACTTCACATCCATATAATAATTTAGGGACGACTTTGGCATTAAATATTTGAATTGCTGCTGGAAGGTGTTTGCCGCCCTTCTGGTGGTAAAATCGGACAATGGCGTTAGAGGTCGTAGGTTGCAGCGAGAAAGGCAGATTGTAGATGGGTGGTCCAGGAGAGATTATAGGTGAATATTAATCCTAGATATTTA